TGCCTCAATTTCTCTTTGTTCAGCATTATACATGGCCATAGTAAAATTTAAATCACTATAAACTTCTTCAAATTCTTTAATATTTTTTTCAAAAGCTTTTTTAACAGCATTAGCATTTATAAACTTTTGAAAATTTGTTAGCTGCGTAACTTCTTTAGAAAATTTTTTAATATTATATAGAACATTAACAAATCTAACCCAAGCATAATAATAATTTTGATTCCTAAATTTTTTTTCATTTGCTTGATATTTTCGTTGAAATGATTTAACCGCCATTTGAGCAATTTCAACACGATCTAATAAAGCAAGACATATTTTTCATTACATTTTGCATTTTCATAGATTGATAACATCTGATTAAGTATGTTGGTAACCATGCCGAATAAGGGGACGAATGGAGTAATTGCATCTCCTACTGTTTGGACAGCGGAGAGTGTTTGACCGGCCACTGTAGTTGGCCCACCAAACTTTCCAACATGTTCTCCTCGTAGATGAGTTTCTTCATGATATTTTTGTGATTTTTGTGAAATCTTCTCTAAGTGTGAGTGATTCTCTTTTTCACTTTTTATTCCGGTATGATTACCAGAAAACACATTACTCGTCAGGACACCCAAAAAATTTAAACTTAAGGTTTTTGCGCCGACATCAACTGTGATATGATCTTTTTTATCCTTCCGATGAGTATCAATAATACACCATCTCATCGTGAGATTTTTAATCTCACTATGTATGTCATCAAAATTGTATTGGAATACTTCTACGCTTAAACAAGTTTCTGAAAAATCTTTAAGTTTACTTTTAATAACTTGATTTCTATTAAAGCACTTTGAATCAAAGCCAGTAACAAGAAAGCATGAATTTAACCATGGATTCATCGATGTAGGCAATTGAATTTTAACATTTATCGGCAATTGACCCGTTAATCTTTCATTTCCACATGCAATTTGGATATTACGAGAATGCAAACTAAAATATCCATGTCCTTTAGCGAGTACTATCCAAAATACTTGTGCGCCAATAGGTATGCTGTATATTTAAATTGAAAATAATAATAAATATATATTAATCAAGTAGTTAAATAGTGTCACAAAATACCTTTTGGTATCAAGTTTATGTATAGTAGCTCGGCATCCGTATTGATTTGCTAAACTAAATCGTATCATCACATCTGATTCATTTTGTTCATTAATAATTAAACAACCAAACATTTCATAATCGCTATCTTGAAGTGGACACTCAAATTGAATATTAATGCACACTTGATTATCATGCGTGATGTTTGTGATACCTGTCATGACAATGTGATAATGATCTGAAACTATGCTTTCTATTTCATTCTGTTTATCTTTAGGCAATATTTTATATAAGGGAATTAAATCTTGAGTTATTATTTTCCAATGTTGTTTTTCCTCCAAACTTTTTAATCGAAAATATATCTCATTACTCTTTACTATATCACCGTTAAAATCCAAAAAGAATGATGTATCTAAATTTTTTGCAATCCTATTCCATTTTTCAAGTTTCTCCTCTACAATTCTGGACTCATCTTTGCCTGCACTAAAATCAATATATTCGTTTACAAATTGGTCATTATTATCAGATTCACCAATTTTTGAAAATGTTCTACCAAGAATAATGCTGCAAGGACAAATGTACCCAAACCTATCAAAAACATTTTTCAAATTACAAAACGGATAATTACTATTAATTGCTTTTTCCACTGCATTTAAAAACTTTTCAGATGGCTTTAATTGATTCATGTTAAATGTTAATTTAATTTTTTCTGATGCGATAAAACAATGGATCGCATTAGATTTTTGTTGATCATATATTGGATGATCATTGTTTGTTAAACTTTCTGTTAAAAACGGGATCTCTGCAATAGCAATATTGTTCATTTTAATACGGTTAGCTAGGACGAATGCATCTTTTTTATTAAGAGGTTGTTGTAAATACATATATGATTTATCTAATAAACATATTTTGGGTATTTCAAGAAAATCTATTGCAACTTCCAGCCCGTGTATTATGTTATTTTGCTGAATGATTAAGCCATAAGAAAAATATAGATTGTTAATCCAATGACACAAATATATTATTGGTGAGCTGTTAGTCCAATTATTTAA